CATGTTTATATTACATTCCTGTTTCAGTTTTTAAATCCGGATTACTTTGCCAGCAGTTCATCATCAGGGTCAGCTCATTTAATGAAAGTAGCATATGCAGAAACTGGTGAAGCTCACATTGAAGTTTGCACTACATGGAAAGATATTCACTATTTCGAAAATGGTGAATCGAGTCCTTGTACTGCCTTGGCCTTTCACGAAAATGATTTAGTTACCGTTGGAGAAGATGGACGAATCAATTTTTTTACAGCCCAGTCCAAAGACGTAGCACGGAGTATAGGTAATATTGATATTTTAATTACAGCTACCTTTAGCTACATTCGATGAATTGGTACATTGCTTAATTTTAAGAAAACATTATTTTCCGAAAAATTACTTATATAAAGTACGGTTTAAATGGGGGTCTAGACAGCGAAATTAACTATATTTACATTTCAGAAATATGTTGATTCGGATAAATAAGATAATTACATTTTTACTATTATTTCAATAAATCATGTAGTTTTTGTTAGAGTTTGTAGCCATTCATCGACAAGCGGAGAGATAGGAGATACATACATAAAGAAGTTCACTTATTTTTTTACCTAAATGTGGTTTGGATTATTTTCTCTTTCTTAATAGTTAATAATGAAATTATCATGAAATTTAAATTGGGTCTTTGGGTTCAATAATGATAAATACCTTTTATAAAGTTTACGGTTATTTATGTGAAATCCAATTAAGTTCTGTACTTTTAAATATATATATATAAATAATCTTTATTTCCTACAGAAAAAGGCTATCGACCCAATCGGTCTTTCTGCCTTTAAATATAATTTTCTCACATTTACTTTTTCGTTTAGATTTGTTGTTAAACCACACATGCCTTCTATAATTTCTGGCAGGCAAAAAATCGGTTAATGTTTGTTGAGTCGGTGGATTTGTTGTGACCAACTTAAATTATTTATTTAAATTGCAATAGGGTATTTGCATAAAATTTATTTTTGATTGAAAACAAACTAGAATTTAAGCTTTGTTGCATACAAGAAAAGTAAATCGCGGAAAAAAATCATTTTGCTATTTAATGGGCTTTCAAATCTGATCAAAGTGGCGTCTGCGAAAACGCTGTGATTGGTCTGACTTCACAGTACACGTTCGGCCTTCGGTGTTCATTTAAATCGTAACTTCTGTACAGTTTTTTACCTCGTGTGGTGTTTTATGGCGTTGTTTTATTAGTTTATTTTTATTGTTTTGTGGATTATTGTGGAAAATGATTGACGACGCATTTTTAAATGCACAATCAGATTCGTTGATGATGGCTGCGATTTTTAATGCAAGCGAATTGTTTACATCCGTTGAGCAACGTGGAGTAAAAGCTAAAAGGAAAGCGTACATTTCTGCTTTAGATGATTGGGTTTCTGAATAAAAATTAAAAG